GATTTTTTGAATTTATTTTGCGACCTACTAACATTCTTAGCCTCCGCACAAGGAGGAATACACTTGTCAGCCTTGTCACCAAATCGTTCATGATACCAGCACAACTTAGAGTTTGAAATTGGACTGGCACTCCTACTTCGGGATGAAATGATGGTTTCTCTACTTCTATTAGATCCGCTATGGTGAAAATTACTTTTGTTGCGACAACCAAATTGTAAATTTTTAATCATTTTTTTGATGTCTTCCATGTCACTTTTAATTTTGTCAACCTCCGAAAAACTATTGACAGCAGAAACATTGACAAGTTCAGTTTTAGAAATTTCGTATATATCATCAGCTTTTTTTGCCAAATCTTCTAAAGAAATTGTATTAGCTGTAGATAAAAGGATCATCTTTACATTGGATGGAAGCCGCTTCATCCATATTTCCATAAGAAAGCTATCGTCCAACTTAATATCACCTACTAATTGCTTCATCCTACGAAGTAATTGGGAAGGAGTTCTATCACCAAGTTCCTCGGAAGCAATTAATTGATTAATCCTTTTCTGTAAGGATATTGAAGTTCGCTTGATTAATTCTTCTTTTAATTTGGAAAAGGGATTAGCTTGTGGAGGATCTAAAATAATGTCTCTGACCTCCAAAACCGTATCTTGATCTAATGCAGCAATGACATGGTGAAATTTTGTATTTTCTGCAGTAATTCTCTTCGTAGTAAATACTGATTCCACTTGAGCAAACCATAGCTTTGCGTCATTTGCCCAAAAACTAGGTAATTTAATATTTACTGATAAAACTGCTTCATTGTTTTCATTCATGGTTCAAAACGGGGTCACCAGTTATTGTGTTGTCTGAACACAATATTTCAAATGAGAAAATACTTCTCTGGAAGAATTAGGAGCAATTCAGTTAATAACTTTTTAATAATAATAATAAACAAAAACGAAATTATTTATCTCCACAACCTTGCCTAACAACTAACCAAAGCTAACTACACACAAAAAAATAAACAATAATAAAAACACAAAGGTAAAAACACAAAGGTAAAAATACAATAGTAAAAACACAAAGGTCACTACAATGCTACCATTGCTACCAGAAGAATAAAAAAACAGAATAGCAAAAGTGATACTAAAAGTTGCTCACACTCACACGATATTTTTTTCTTCAGGCGTTTTCTGCGTGCATTTTTTATAGTTTATAGCACATAAATAATAAATCAAATCAAAATTTTTAAATTATAATTAACAGCCGTATTCAACATCCTCTTTTTACAACTTTAAAAACGCTTTGGAACATGTCACTTTTAAAAATTTGTAGACAGTTTTCAAAGTCGCTTTTAAAGTTAAAAGAAGATGTTGAATACGGCTGTTGTTTATTTTCCACATCTATTTAACATTTTTATTTTCCCCTCAAAAATTCAAATTTTGTGTTTATTTTCTAAGCATTTAGTCTGGAAATTCTATATTTTTTTTTTTTAGCTCCAAAATTATTATAAATAATATTTGTCAAATTGACATTCTGTCTGTGCAATGTGTGTGTGTTTATTTTTTAAAATGATGTCATTACAAATGAGTATAGTTTAGACTGCTTATGTTGATTCAGTAATATACGTATGGTTACCTACATAAATGCCATAAATGGTCTTATTTAAAAAATAAAAAAAGTCAGGTTTTTGCCCCCCCCCCCCCCCCCTGAAAAATGTTCTATGGACGCCCTTGTGTCCACGTGTGACTGTCTCATTCCCATTGTAGAAGTGCCCTTGGGTTTCCCCTTGTATCGTTTTACTAACATTGAATCTCAAACAAGGACAGAGCACAGCACAAAGTAACTAAAATGTGTTTCTTTTTAAAGATAAAAGTCAAAGTGACATCATGTTGGCAATACAATGTAAAATTGTCAATGCTTTCAAATTTTTATGTAGAAAAGGCTTGTGTTGCCAACATAGTTACTAAATTTTTGACTTGGGGAATTATCTTTAAAAAAAAACAGACTTTAAATCTTAAAAGACATATAAAGCCTGTTTTTTTTTTTAAAGATAATTCCCCAAGTCAGAAATTTAGTAACTATGTTGGCAACACAAGCCTTTTCTACATAAAAAATTTGAAAGATTGACAATTACATTGTATTGCCAACATAATATCATTTTGACTTTTATCTTTAAAAAAAAAAACACACTTTACACAAAAGTTTGCAAACATAGTGCTTGGGATATGGTTTAGAGCCAGACACACATTAGGCGCATCCGAATGCGCTGGTAAATTGCCCAACTGGAGCACAAGCCATTAAGAAAAAGAAGAAGAAGGTATCTATAATGTCACTTTTGTATATAAGTAATCGCTTTCTTTAAGCTTTCTATCAAGGATGATACACATTACTATAGTCCAACACATACCATTTTAAAGTCACGTGATTTTTCTCTATCCTTGTTGAATACATCTCAAACAGCGGTGATAGTAAAATTGACAAAAAAATTGCTGTCTAATTATTGTTCATAAAATTCTTACCTTAAATCGAGCCTGAAATAGAATCCGTCACTGTCATCAATTAGTTTGTCAAAGTTATTTTAGAAAATGATACAACGAACAAACACAGCTAATAATTTTGACTATATTAACCTTTTTCCAACTCAAAAAGATGCAAATAGAAAACGGGTACCCAATTCAAGTTCAGAATGTATTACAAGGGGCAGCAGAAGCGACAAAAGTGAGTCTCGCAACAATTGCAAGTATTAAAATTCTCATCTGATTAGTCAATACTACTTCAGAAACGCGTTTGTAAAATGCTAGTGGGAACATATCTTAAAATTCAATAGTAATTAACCACAAGTAGCTTTTTGTAGGTGATGTCAACGACATAATCAACGAACATACGTTTTTTGCCACCAATATCACGTGACTTTAAAATGGTATTTGTCGGACTTTACTACAGGATGGCCTATTCTCATAAGGCCTGTGTGTCTGGATATTTTTGTGTGTTTATGTTGTAAAAATGCCAAGTAAGTGTGGTTGTGGTGGGATGTCAAAGCCTCCGAAAAAGGGACAATGTGTCTCAAATCTCAAACCTAGAGGGTCCCGACTCCTAAGCGTGCCCAGTTCAGTATGATTTCCGCATTTAAATGAACTATCAGGAAAAAGACGAATAGCATGGTTAGAGTCGTTACCGGCAATCAAACGGAACGACCTTTCACAATCTAAAGTGGCAAATCAGAGTTTGTAGTAAGCATTTTATCACAAAAATGAACGAGTTCTATTTTGTATCATCATGGGATCTATTTTATAATAAAAAAACCAATAAGTAAGTTAGAGGATGTGGATAATTCTGACTAAGATCCTGACTATGAGCACCAAGTTCTTACAAATATAGGCTCTGCATAATGATAATATCTTGTCATATTGCACTTAACAGATTTATCTCTTACAAATACCCCTTAAAGCACATAAAACTGTGAAACTGCGAAAAAACAGCAAACAGCACACGACTAAAACATGAAGTTTGGCCCATGTGTGGCCGCCACGCCATCTTGAATGGTTTGGATTGCCTAATAACCGGTTCGTTTTTGCGAAAAAGAGGTTTATCAACAAACTTTATTAGGTGGGGGTTATTTTGACAGAACACCAGTGATGAGGCTAATAATCGTATGGTTTTAGCTTGTGATAACACGGTTACAAACGGTTACTCGCTAAAAAATCCTCTATGTCAAGAAAGCTATGAATGCATTTTAGACCCTGAGATAGGGCCTGTTTAGTGGAGTCATTTTTTTTTGTCTGGCATTTTGAGGGATGAATGTGACTAGTTAGCTGATGAGAATATAAGTGGTTTTAATGCCTGCCTCCTGTTCGAACTGTCCACAGAATGTTTCGCTGGAAAACTCGATTTCGAACTGTGAATACCGTCTGGCGATTTTTCAGCGTAATTTTCACAACAAAACCTTTCATTCTCTCGATTGCCAGACAAAAAGTGAACGCGGAAGGTTCTTTTCTTTTCTCTTGGAAGTTGACACCCATCCCCATTTTTTCAGCTATTGAAAAGCATCTGATATTTTTCATGGGTGAATTATTTATCAATGTCAATCTTTTATTTAAAAGCTAGAAAATTTGACATGATTAAAAAAAAATTCTTCATGTAAATCAATTTTTTTCTTCTGCAAATTTTCGAACGGGAGGCCGGCATTAAAATCACCCATATTCTCATCAGCTTAGTAGCCACATTCGGCCCTTAAAATGCCAGACAAAAAAAAATGACTCCACTAAACAGCCCCTATCTCACAGTCTATTTGGCACAATGCTAATATTACCGAGGATATTTCCATTATTGTGTAATGTGTACCTATTATTACTTGGTGAATCACATACCTTGTTTCTCTTAATCAAAAATGATGATGTTGCAGTCCATTGAAAGTGCGGACATTTTTATTATTAATATGTAGGAAATTCCGTGAGGAATTTAGAACAATGAGAGACATTTGGGAAAAACTTTTTAAATGGAATGGGTGGAAATAATGAAAAATTTATTACATTATCAATACAGGGTGATTTATGTAGCCCGTGCATTAGATTGCAGGTGGATGCTAGCTCTACTAATCCACCTGCAATCTGGAAAACTTCTAATGCACGGGTTACGTAAATCACAGTGTATACACCTCATATTACAATGGATTAAGGATAGGAAGTACAAAGCAGTGAGGTGCAAGTGAACAAAATCTACAGGGAACAATAAATGAAAAATAGTAAACACCAAATATTAGGTAATAGGAAACCGATAAGAAATATACAGCATATATGCTGTACTAACGACTGAGGACTAAATTATTAAACAAGATTTCTGTATGACATCTCTGTGTCTTGTTTCCTGCGATCACAATTCTATGTATCTTGGCAAATAGTTCATAATTGGCTTCATCTCCTCCACCACTCAATCTCGTCACCGCTTAATCCTTTAAAATGTTTTCCCCAAAATTTTCACTTGGGGAACAATATTTAATTTAAAAATAAAAATCTTACCGTCATCTGCAGCAACTGGTTTTTTAGGCATGTCTAGTTTCGCCGATGTGGGACTACCTTTTGGAGAATTCACTAATGATAATATTGAAGGCGATAAAAGTGACGATACTGCCGGAGACACTGGCAACTCAGCTAATAACCTTGATTCAGTCTGAAAAAAAAAATCATTCATTTGAAGTTCTTGTTACAGCATACTCTTACCTTTATGGGTGGTAGTGGTGGTAAGGGAGGCGGAGGCGCAGGCGCCACATCTGGAGGCATCGGCGGCGGCGTGTAGGACCTTGGAGGCAAAACTTTGACGTGAACTTCGACTTTGTGTTTTTTTCGAGGTGTGACTACAGGCAGAGAGTCCGTAATGGAACGTTTCCGTTGATCTCTCACGATGATGCCTAGGAGTAGGGCTGGTCTAGCCTCTTCGAAACCTTTTGAACAAAAAATGATAAATTATTTCGCTATATGTATGGTTGTGTCCAACGACAAACTGCCGCGATCGATTTCTCAGAAAATATACCTTGGTAAATAAAAGTGCCGCAATCTTAAAGATATTTTACCCTCTATCAATATTGCTATGTTGCCAAATTCTCAAAATTTTCCAAAATTTATTTTCAGAGTTGATAGTGGCTATTCGTCGTGGGACACCCTAACAAAAATTATTCTTACCGGGTCCATTAAGTGGCAAAAGTGATAAAGGTATAGGTTTCTGTGCAGGTAAAGGTAAAATATAAAAGTCCTTTATAGATCTATTGGTGGATTCCACCACTCCCAAACGATTTCTCTTGCTCAAGTAACTGTACAAAGTCATATAAAGTATTTGTTCCTCGATATTTTTAGCTTTAAGCCTTATCAAAGAAATTATTTTAGTATTGGAGCTGCGCATTTGGCCTATGTAATCCCACGCAATCGCCGGAGATATTCTTCCGACAATTTTTAGACGTTCTGCGAGTTCTTGGCCTAGTCCCGTACAATCGCCTAAGAGAAAATCTTTAGTGAAGGCAATTTACTTTGGTTTTGTTTTGTTACCTGACACTTCATGAGCAGTAATAGATACCCTCGACACTACATCGTTCATTTCGATAGTACCCGACCAGACTGTGGCAGGAGTACTTTTCGGTGGTGGCGATAATCCGCCGTCTTCTTCCAAATCTTCGTCGTCTTTTGGAGTTTTTGACTCTTCGGAAGAAAATTCTTCAATGTCTGTAACTCGTGGCGGAGTGGGAATAGTCACTGTGGAAGTGGGCACTTCGTGATCACTTTCACTATCAATTGTAGCTAAAACAAATATATACATAATATTATTCATAATCAAAATCAGTGAAGCCTGTTTTTCAATAATTTTCTTTTGGTCAACAACAATGTTAAAAGTAAAAAAAAAAAAAACGAAATTATGAACAATTTTACATAGTCACTTTAAAGTGTTTGTATTGTCTTTGTGTTTCTAGTTTATACATTGAAAAAACAGGAATTTAAATACGGATTTGTACTGATAGTTTATTCACAATGTAGAAAAATTTGATATTACCTGGTGGATCTGGGAGAATGTCTTCTTGTTTCAATATTTTCTCTTCAACTGGTGGCACGATACGATTAAGTTGTTCTAAAATTTCCTTGGAACGTTTATCCAAAGTGTCAGTTGAACATAATAACGGCTTTTTGTGTTTGGAACTTTTATTAGACGACGATGATTTCCTATGTCTGTCTCTATTTCTTTCTCTATCTTTACTTTTATCTCTGCTCCTAGATCTGCTACGTTTCTTCTTTTTTTCAGATCTTGTCCTATCTTTACTTTTACTTCTCGACCTTTTTTTACTTCTTTCCTCTCTTCTGTCTTTACTCGAATGCCTGTCTTTTTCTTTGCTCTTGTCTTTGTGACTGGATTTCGCGCGTTTAGCGTCCACACCTGTGTCTAAAGCAGTTCCTTCAGTGAGGCTCTTTATAATTGCAGTATTATCCGTTTTGATGCCTGGACGGTTATCTTCCAATACTTCTTCGCCTTTGTGTGTTTTCAGCACATATTGCCTGTTGCAATTGAGCAACTCTATTTCAGATTTTTTAATCATGTCCAATTGATGTTTGGCCTCTTGCTCTCGCCATTTTGCTAATTCTTGACTGGCCATATCATCAGGAGATAATCTCACCTGAAATTTATTCAAAAATAGTCTCAAATCTGTCTAAAATTACTAAAAAAGTGTATAAATTGCCACAAAATTGTTTTACCAAATTATTTATTATCAATTTACTTACCAATTCGTATGAGCTGATGCTTTTTTCACAAATCCTTCTCCATAATGTTTGATTTTTTGGATCTTTAACATTAAACATAAGACTTCTATATTTGTTTTTGTATTTTTGTCCAGTGTCTCCAAAACATTTGTACAATTCCATCTCAATCTCTATGGAAATATTTCTAATCTGCAAATAAATATTCAATAGTCTTGTTATTTTTAAAATAATGATAAATTTTACCTCTTCCTCTGTCAATTTAATATCGTTTCCCTTCAACCTAACAGTCAACTGTTCAAAAATCGTCTTTTTAACATTATCCCGAATATCTTCTTTTTTGCGTGGTGTTGGAGCATCGTCCTTTTGCTTGGATTTAGGAGTTTTCTGCTTTGCAGAATCTGGGGTCTTTTTGGGAGTCTGAACAGGAGGAGTCTTTGGTGTAAGTTTGGGCGTTAGTAAAGTTTGCACTTGAACTTTAGCTTTAGGCGATGGTGTAGACACCTCTTTAGGTTTCATCTGTTGCGGTTGTATAAGTTTCACTTTGGAATTGGGATCTCTTTGGAAAACTTTGTAGAATTTCGCCGCTTTAGTTTCTTGCGGTTGAGGGTGTTTGGGAGAGTGTTTGAGCACGCCTACGTTGACACCTTTTTGTTGCAGCGCTAAAGAGACGCCATGATTGTTTGTATTTTTGACTATTTTCAATTTGGATTGGGTTAGTGGGCGAGCGCTGATGTTTGATGTGGCAACTTTACCACCTGATTTGACCACTTGGTAGCCTGGATGTTCCTTGAGCCACTGGTCGAGGTTGACAGCAGTCGGTGCTTTGCTACCGCTCAGCATTTTGCCAGATGATTTTTCAATGACAACAACCTGAATAAAAAAAATTATTAATTTATTTTGTGCTTTTCATTTTTTCATTGAGAGAAACGTAATGTGGTTAGGTCTTGGAACATGGCTTGATGGCCTTTTTGGTCACTTTAATACTTCGACCATCGAACACACTCTCTCTCTCTCTAGACTAATAACGACAATGATGTGCTATGAAATTTGTTCTCCAGAATGAGACCACCACCACTCTCTCGCGCATATGAATTTAAAATGTTTATGAACCGCTTGTTAGGAATTCCTATTTTTGCATTGTGTTACACAAATATAAGAATATCCTGAAATAAAAATTATTGATTTATAAATAGAAAGCTCGTTTGCCAATGAAAAGGGGTGTGCGAGACGCATAGAGGGGTTTATAGGATAACCAAGGGACTAAAGGACAATCGGGAAAGTAGATCAGTCGCTTTCTATTCGAGTTAGTAGTACGTCGGTCACGCGCTGCGCTTTTATCAGATTTTTAAAATACCTGTTCGATCCTGTCGTTATCATGCTACCCCAGTATTTATTGATTAACAACGAAAAACATAACTCACTATGTAGCTCAAACCTCGCAGTTCAATTCTTCCGAGGAATCAGTTCAGATTTTTGAAGGCAATGTGGAGTGTTCAGATTCAGAATCTCAGCAATCGCAAGGTCACTTTGAATCTCAGAATTTTAGTTGCGGTCTTTTACGGCAAGGCCACGTCTTGTTAGCAACAGCTTCAATTGAGGTGAAGGATTCAAATGGTTATTTTCATGGATGTAGGGCACTATTGGATAGTGGTTCAATGTCAAACTTTATTCCAAGGGATGTAGCAGCATTAGTGAGGTCCGTGAAGTTGGCCCCTAAAGTGTTGATTTTTTTTTGGAAAAATATGTTGTTTGTTAGTGCTTCTTAGTGCTTCAATTGTTTTCGTTAGTTCTTTTTTCGTTTTCTGTATATCGATTTTTTTGTAGTTTCAAGGTCAGCCCTGACAATCTGTCAAAATGAACGAAATTTAATACTATGCTTTAGTGCTTCGTTAGTGCTTCTTAGTGCTTCAAATAGTTTCGAAAGTGCTTTTCTTATTTCTTAGATATTTTAGATTTTCACTTCAAGGTCAGCCCCCAAAAATTTTCCGAATTACCCAATTTTGGTGTCAGTTTTTAGTGCTTCTCAGTGCTTCAAACAGTTGCATTCGAGAATATTTCCTTTTTGAGATATTTAACTTTAAATTTTCAAGGTCAGCCCTCAAATTATATGGGATTGAGTTACATCTAGAGTCGTTTTTTTGCGCATCGTTAGTGCTTTTCAGTGCTTCAGATAGTTTTCTTAATGCTCTTTCCGTGTTCTGATTTTATTTTAAAATTACCACCCAAATTTGTTCCAAAATGTACAGAAAACATAGGGACGCCACCTCGGACGCCACTGGAGCCAACATTGGTTTATAGTATGGAGGAAATCTAAGGTGCCGGTGCGCTCTCTATCTCTCTCTTTTATGGTTATTTAGTTGTTTTGGAAAGGGCTATTTTAATTGGTCACTGTTTTAGCTGGCGCTATTTCGTTCGTTCAGACGCTGTTTTAACTGGCGCTTTTTTAGCACCGGAGCATCTCACTCCGGGGTAACTCGCCTTTGTTTTAAACAGAATGGCTCTGTCATTAAATAGCGCCCAACGAGGAACCGCACTTTACAAGTTGGAAAATGGCATATTTTTAACTATCAGTAAGTCAGTATCAGTAAATTTGATACCTGTGTCATATTCGATATAGAATACGACTCATGGGGCCTTATTCTGTAAAGAACGAACCGTTCGATTCGGTAGAATTTCTTCGATTGTGACGTCATTTTCGGCATTTTCGGAATAGCTTCCGCGCTAGCAAACCGAAAATGACGTCACAATCGAAGAAATTCTACCGAATCGAACGGTTCGTTCTTTACAGAATGAGGCCCCGGGCTGGGATCACGACGAGTAGAATTCTACTTTCATGACGTCATGAAAGTAGAATTCTAGTAGAATTCTACTACTTGTCGTGAACCCAGCCCTGGGTTATATTCTGGCACAGCTTTTGAGTGCAGACAACATAAGTAGGGGAGCTCCGAAAGAGAAATGGAGCTACTTATGGCAATTTACGCCGAAAACTCACGCACTGGAGGTCGTAGCTTAGAATAATTCAAATTTATGATAAAAAAAATATTGTTTAATATTGATCAATATAATAGGCAAAGAGGAAGATGAAAACGAGATCTAAATAAAGGGTTGTTTCAGAATGTTAATTATTAATGTAGTAAAACCGTGAATAAAACCAAGTATGCATGAAGCCAAAGCCCGCGGAATCATAACCTGTAGTGCAAAAGGCCTACGTCCATCCGAGAAAGGACATGCCTACGTCACAACTGGTGATTTGGTGTATCATCCTTGCTATGAACCGATGTTGGCTTCAGTGGCGTTCCTGTGTTTTTTGTACATTTGGAATAAGTTTGGGTGCTAATTTTAAAATAAAAAATACTAAATAATCAGAATACGGAAAGAGCATTAAGAAAGCACTAACGATGCGCAAAAAAAACGACTCTAGATTTAACTCAATCCCATATAATTTGAGGGCTGACCTTGAAAATTTAAAGTTAAATATCTCAAAAAGAAAATATTCTCGAATGCAACTGTTTGAAGCACTGAGAAGCATTAACGAAGCACTAAAAACTGACACCAAAATTGGGAAATTCGGAAAATTTTTGGGGGCTGACCTTGAAGTGAAAATCTAAAATATCTAAGAAATAAAAAAAGCACTTTCGAAACTATTTGAAGCACTAACGAAGCACTAAAACATAGTAACAAGTTTCGTTCATTTTGACAGATTGTCAGGGCTCACCTTGAAACTACAAAAAAATCGATATACACAAAACGAAAAAAGCACTAACGAAAACAATTGAAGCACTAAAAAGCACTAACGAAGCACTAACAAACAACATATTTTTCCAAAAAAAATTTAACACTTTAGGGGCCAACTTCACGGACCTACATTAGTGGTATTGATAGTCTTCAAGCCAGTTCAAAGCATTACAGAAAGTTTGCCTAATATTCAGATAGAGACACGTGCATTGCCAATACCTTCTTATATAAAATGAGTCGATCGTCGTTTTTTTAAACCTAGTAAAATTGATGGTCTCATTGAGATAGGGCTGTTTAGCAAACTTCTGTGCAATGGAAGAAAGTCTTTGGGAGAAAACATGCTTGTTCTCGAGAAAAGCAAATTTGGGTGGTTCAAATCAGGGTCAATTGGTTCCACGAAATTAAAAAATGTTTCTTGCAATCTCTTGAACACAAGGGATACACTTCAACGTCAGGTTTCGAAATTTGGGAAATCGAAGAATTGTCACTAGAAAATTATCTGTCAGAGGAAGAGCAGCAGGTTGAACTTAATTTTCAGCAAAACTTTCAAAGAAATAATGACGGTCGATTTGTGGTCAATATTTCTTTGAAAAATCTAATTTCACTGTTAGGCGATTCCAAGCTGCTGTAAAACAATTCTTCGCTTTGGAGAAACGGTTTTCCGCCAACCCAAAACTTAAAGAAATATATACAGAATTCATGAGAGAATATTGCGATATGGGACACATATCTGCAGTTGACATTTCAAGTAAAACTGTTTTATTTTTTTCTCCTCATCATGATGTAATTAAAGAAGAAAGTTCTACTACAAAATTAAGAGTAGTTTTTAACAGTTCTTCTCCTTCAAGTTCTGGTGTTTCATACAATTCCTTGCAATTGGTTGGGCCTAGAGTTCAAGAGGACCTTTTATCCATACTTCTCCATTTTAGACAACACACATTTGTGGTAACAGCAGATATCTGCAAGTCGTACCGCCAAATTCTGGTTGCCGACGTATTTAAGCCACTCCAATTAATATCTCTGGCGCAGATTCAGTTCAAGGTCTTACTTTTCTATCTAGCCAAGTAGCTAACGTTTTATCCAGTGCTGGGTTTCCCTTGAGAAAATGGAAAACTAATAGTCAGGAGATCCTTAGTTTTTTGGAACAGACCCATTCTTCTACAGAAACATATTATTTTAATTCAGCAGAAACATGCAAAACTTTAGGCATGCTATGGTCTATGTAGTAAGGCTGATTGATTATCACTCCATATTGATTCTCAACCCAACGTTAAGGCTATAACAAAAAGGGTCATCCTATCTGAAACTGCAAAAATATTTGATCCTCTGGGCTTACTTGGACCGCCTGTCATACAAGCGAAAACAACTTTCCAACAACTATGGTCCTTGCAACTAGGATGGGACGATGAGGTTCCACAAGAAATTGCAAAAAGGTGGCAATCCTTTCGATCTGAGCTTATTCTTTGGTAATTTCCAGACATGCTTCTTGCAAAAACTTGTTACGCACTGAGCTTCATGGATTCTCAGACACCTCTCAATACGCATATGGAGCATGTATCTATCTGAGATCCATTGATTCATTAAGCAATGTATCCATTCACTTACTTCAAAAACCCGTGTAGCCCCGCTCAAGGCAATAAATATACCTAAATTGGAGCTATGAGGTGCGACTCTATTAGCAAACCTATTTCAAAAGGTAATTTATCCTCGAGTCTTCCCATTTTTGGTCTGATTCAACTGTTGTTCTTGGTTGGATTCGTTCTTTCTCACGTCAATTTCAAGTTTTCGTAAGAAATAGAATTTCTGAGATTCAAACCCTTACTTCATCAAGGTGTTGGCGGTACGTTCCTACGGTTCAAAATCCCGCAGACTTTATTTGTCAGGGTCATAACCCGAAGGCCCTTCTTTCTTCAAAGGTATGGTTTCATGGACCTACATGGTGATTAGAGGATCCCGCTTATTGGCCAATCGACATTTCCTTAACAACCTCGTCTTCATCGGAAGAACTTCCAGAACTACGAAAAAAGGTGAAGGTTTTTGTTCAATCACAAGTTGATAATCTCTTTCCGTTTAAGCGGTCCTCCTCTTCCAATCGCATTAGGCGGGTTATGGCTACATGCTTACGATTCATTTCAAATTGTAAGGTTTCTAAGGATCAGAGGCTCGACGGTAATCTTTCAGTTGCTGAAATAGGAAATGCCACAACTAAGTTGGCTGTACTTTTTCAACAAGAGTAATTTGCCAAGGACATAAAACAGCTTCAAAAATTAGCCTTTGTAGGTATAATTTTTTTAATTTATATTGAAACACTAAAAAAACATCTGAGCCGTTTTCTCGCGTTTTGAAATTGGTTCAAAACAGGTTTGAAACGGGCAATTGTGTTTCCATTGACTGTTTCAAATTGCTTTTGGAACAATGTCAAAAAAGTGGACGCGAGAAAACGGTTTAAATGTTTTTTAAGTGTTTCAGTTCAAATTAAAATTACTATAATAAAAGCAGTCTTCTCAGTCTAGCTCCATTTCTTAAAGATGGTCTAATTCGAGTAGGTGGTCGGCTGCGTCATTCTCCCTATTCCTATGATAAGATGCATCCGATTCTACTAAGTTCCAAGCATCACTTGACTTACCTAATTCTGAACTATGAGCATGCTAAACTTTACCACTGTGGTCCTCAATATCTATTAGCAAATATACGTGAAAGGTATTGGCCTATTTCTGGCAAAAATCTTGCAAACAGAATTGTCAGAGATTGCGTTTTCTGTTTTAGGTTTAAACCTAAGTTTTTACATCCAATAATGAGCAATTTGCCTCATCCGCGAACTTCTCCTAGTTTGCCATTTGCAAATGATGCTGTGGATTATGCTGGTCCATTTTACTATAAGGACCGTAAAGTAAGGTATTTGAAGTGTTATCTTTGTTTGTTCATTTGTTTGGCAAGTCTGCCAAACATCATTTATTATGAATATTGACTTCTGCACCTAACACATTGACATTCGAGAGTTTTTGCACAGTGGTTTTTCAGGTGGAGAGTGTACTGAATTCAAGACCATTAACAGCTTTATCAACGAATCCCAATGTTAAACGTTTTGACGCCTTCTCATTTTTTAGCTGGTCGCACATCAGAATCATTACCTTATCATGACCTGGAAGGCATTCCAACAAACAGGTTAACTTTATATGAACAGCTAAAAAGACTAAAACAGTTATTATGGAAAGGATGGTCAGTGGAATACATTTCTCAGTTGCATCAGCGTGTGAAATGGAAGTCAACCAAGTGCAACCTGAAGATTGGTGACATGGTTCTCATTCAAGACAATGATTTGCCTCCTTACAAATGGCGCCTTGGACGTGTCTGTGCAGTGCATCCGGTAAGTGATGGACAAGTTCGTGTTACGTCAATAACTACTGCTTCAGGTGTGATCAAGCGCGCTCTGGCTAAACTAGCTCCTTTACCTATTGCAGACAATTCTTACTTCTAGGTTAAGAAGTTTATGTTGTTGTTCTGGCTTTGAGCTCATGTATTTAGTTAAGGTTAATTAAGAAACTTTTGATTTTGTTTTTCGTTTAGGCTGGGCATGTTAGGAATTCTTATTTTTGCATTGTGTTACACAAATATAAGAATATCCTAACATAAAAATTACTGATCTATAAATAAAACGCTTGTTTCGAGAAAAAAAAAAAAAAAAAAAACAGTGTGCCGATGAAAAGGGGTGTGCAAGACGCAGAGCGGTTTATAGGATAACCAAGGGACTAAAGGACACAACCGAGAAAGTAGGTCAGTCGCTTTCTATTTGAGTTAGTAGTACATCGGTGACGTGCTGCGCTTTTATCAGATTTTTAAAATACGTGTTCGATCCTGTCGTTATCGCGTTACCCCAGTATTTATTGATAACTGATTGAGTTCATTAGCTCAACTGCCTTTCTTTTAATACAGTCCACTTACAGTTCCCATCAGTTTCTACATAGCAGAGTACGTCAAGTTATTAGAGACCTCTGAACCGTGCAGGCGATGTTGTGTCATTTAACACAACACCACTCTGTTTATGGTTTGGGCATCAGCTACAAGAAAGGAGCTAAGACATACCTCTCTCCGTTGGCCATTGGTAAATATTTACTTACCCATGAATCGAACGGTTCAAATCCCTTTTTGGATAATGACTATAATGCAACACATTTACCCACTATTAATATGGTATTATTTATAAATAAATAAGCAAAAATACAATTCGCAATTCTAAAAACTTTTGAAAATTCACAAAAACATGACAACGTGAACGTATCTCTTAGAAGTAACTAGCAGGACAGCTGATTGGGTTGTTCTACCTACAAAACAGACCCAGATTGATCTATTCAACAAAAAGAGAGGGTTCAATTAGCACATAAGATAGAACAGGTAGGTAGGTCAAAAGAATATATTATATATTTCCTTTTTGAAAGAAAACCAAACAATTACTACGTCATTGCCAAACTGTAAAAGCTTTCTTAAGAAGCAGGTAGGTAGTTCCATTTAAAACCGAGTATCCCTCTAGTAGCTTGATGCTTTCACATTTGATGAGTAAACCATGAACCAATTCAATAGGTAGTGACACAATTCATATAATAGAACGAGTGGTTTCACAAGCAGATAGCACACAATTTCAGACACAAGTTGTATTGTATTTATTCCTTTAAATACTAGTCATAGAGTTGTTAGTGAGAGATAGGACCATTATTTTATAAACTATAGGAGTAGATGTATATTACCTTTTCGATTTTTTGTGCATGCGCCAATATACAAGGCTCCGAGCAATAAATCGAATTTTTCCTAGCAGCCTTCTGACAAACGACGCATGGCATCGGAGTGGCCGCAGCTGGTTTTTCCGTTACACTGGTGTTAGCAGAATTGCTGCTATCTGTAGAGTGACGGGAATGGCGTGACGCTCTGCGGACTCTTTTTTGGGCTGGCAGTGGTCGTTTCAATTTAGAATCCTGAAAATAGTTGTATATTAGTATAGAATCCACCACAACAGTAATGCGATCAGAAACATTCACTTATTAGCTATTTATTTAAAAAAATGGAAGGAACCCCTGGAGTATGTTTCTTATAACCTTGTACACATTTATCCAGACTTTTCTGGGACCTGACAGGGTTATTCATGGAATTCTATTCAGTAAGCGGATCTGACTGAACAACTCCAGGACATCCAATATTCAATATTCAAACCTATATTGAAAAAGTTCATCAAGTTGACTAGATTGTAGTCCTGCTTTAAAACTTGCAGTATCTCTTTTATTGTGAGCATCTTGTTATAATTGTTGTGGCAGTGCATGGAACCCACAGTATACAACCCCTATACATACATTTGAACAGGTACTACTTATAGAGGAGACTATTCATGGCATACCAGACAGAATAATTAAAAGTTGACAAAAATTAGACTCAACTAGGATTTGAACCTCTATAATAATGCCAAATCTACCAACTAGGCAACCGAGGCATTCCGTTCACATGTATCTGATCGGTCAAGCTGTAATCATAGTAGCTGTTCAGCTAGTCTGTTAAAAAGTAAAAATGCCTACATCTTTTTCTACATAACTTACTTTACAAAACAAACACATCCATTCTTTGCCCTCTGACTCCATTTGTTGTCCCATCGCTTTGGTGATGCCCACGCACCGACCGTGATACCACTCCTCACACGTGTCACAGCAAATCATGAAACGGTTGTTGTGAGGTTGATTGCAAAGACACCACAATTTGTTGGGATCGTCTTCCGACTGTTCTTCTTCGTCGCCTGAGCTTAGTTCGTTTCCAGAAACATGTTCTGTGTCCAATGGTTTATGGCTGGTTCTATATTATAGAAGAATTCATTAGGCTGTGTTTTCAGTCTTAAGAAAAATAGGTGTGTGTTGAATTCAATGCATGAACTATCCAAATAAATTAACCTAAATGTGCATATACGGTTTAAATTTTTCAGATAAGTTGCAAGCCTGTATAAAAGCCTTATTTCAAAAGTTGATTACCTTGATTTACTTCTTGTTTCCTTCTCTTCAAGGGGTTGCCTTTCAGTAATTTTTTTATAAGTTAATCTTATAAAAACCCTAGCAACAAAAATATTACTTACTTAAATGATGGCTTCGGTGTAGGGCCTGGTTTGGCTGGAGTGGAAGCCGGAGTTCGCTTATTTCTGCTTCTCGTTGTTGGTCGCTCGATGGGAGGAAGTTTAAGAATCGTACCGTCGGGCCTAACAATTTCTTTGCCCTCTTGGATTATGTTGCTTTGGTTCTGTTCCTATAAATTCGAAAAAGGGCTCAAGTTATCATGTGATTTAAAACCAAAATACAGGGTAGCCCATCAAAAAATCATCACTCTGATAGGGTTGCATAATTTAAGTTTTCAACAATTTTCTTTTAATTTAAACTCTGATTGAAAAGTATAGACTGGTGGTAACATCTTCTTTACTTGACTACTTTATTTCTGTTAAGCATAAATAATTGTTCTATCTGGTTTATTCAAGAATGTATGTATGTATACTACTACTATATAGTATTTTATTGATTTGTCGGTACTAGTCAGAGCAATTTAAGATTATTGCAGTCCAGAGACCAGCTTAAGAAACTCAATTATATGCATGTCCAAATGAGAGTTTTTTTAATACCAGCAGGTTAATTAGTGCTTGTTCTTGAGGTTTGTTTCTTTGGTCGCTAGAGGGCACAAAGTCAAATCCAGCGGTTTTGAAGAAGATTAAATTAGAAAATCTAGCATCTAAAATCCTTCTTATACTAATACATAGCATATTATCTATTTGAATAAACACCATACTAGAATTAAAAAAAAAAAAACATTGTTGTTGACTTACCGAAAACGATTTATCAACACTGGGCGTCACCTCTGACATATCAATGCCACTAGTATCCAAAACACCTTCATTAATCCCTTTATCAATAGCGTTTTGAAGCTCAGTATTTGACACAAGCTGTTTCGCAACTTGATACAAAATATCCTCGGAAATCATGTCACTGTTGATGTTGTCCAAAATGGACTGATCCAATTCCAGACCTGATTCGTCTAGATTTATCGCAGACTCTTGGTGAACTGAAGCTTCAGGACTCAGTAGTGTGTCCGTTGTGAAGGTTTTAGTGTCTTCGTTCATAATAATAGCTCTGTAATGCAAATAATGTTAAACTAGCTAGCAAAATAAACAAATATGTTTTACCTTATGTCAGCGGGACTAGGAATTACTTCCTGGCTCTCACTAGAATGTCTAGAATGCCTTAAATAATCACTTTTTTGATTCAGTTTATGTTTATGATTTTTTTCAGTTTCTGACAATCTTTGACTGCCACTACTCTGTCTTTCTTCAGATTTGCAATGTTTCAATTTATCAACACTCTCTCGTCTTTCTTTATTTTTAATTTCGCTCTTTTGTTGATTTTTTTCATCCAAACTCAACCTATTGGTGATCTTCTTTGAAGAGTCCGATGGTGATTCAGTAATAGTGGACTTGGAGCGAAATTCTTGCGAGATTTTTGCTGGTTTTGGTGTCGTAGGGATGTCAGTTTTAGGAGGTTTCGGGTCTTTTATTAGTTTTGTAGTTGCAATGGCTTCAGGCGTAACTGGGTCTTTACCAGCCACTTTTCTTATGATGTCGGGAGTGGAGAATAAAGCAAAATCGCCAGGAATAGATTTGAGAGGGTCCTTTTTCTTTTTAGGTGTTTTCTTTTCTAGCTGTTTGCTTTCTTCAAGTTTGGGTTCTTCTTTTTCAACTTTCTGGTCAGTTTCTGGTGGTTTTTCTTCAAGTTTAACTGCAGTCGTTGGTTTTTCAACTGGTTTTGTGATCTTTTGGTCTTTTTTCACTACTGGAGTAACTGGTTGCGAGGTGCCAGTGACTACTGGAACTACAGGTTGCGCTGTGCTAGTGACTACTGGAGTCACTGGGAGAGCCGTGCTAGTAGCTTCAACATTTTTGGGCACAACCAATCTGATTCTAGAGGGTTTGTAAGTTTTAAAAATTTTCGGTGGCGGTGCTGGCATTCTAACAGGTTCCCTCAATCGAGTGGGTCTCCTAGAAGGTTCCTGTGTTTTTGTATCTTTCTTCTTGTTTTTTTTGCCAGTAATTTCTTGTGTAATGTCAAAATCAGAATCATCTGTGTCATCATCCATTTCCAGATCAAAATCTTCATCATCAGATTCTTCTTCTTCTGCGTCAGAATCAGCTTCATCTTCTTCTTCACTAAGTGGGTTCTCGTCAGAATCCTCTTCCTCATCGTCAATTTGTTCAATTTGGGACGATGTTTTCTTTGTCGGTGGACCTGTTTTTGTCTTTTTCGGTGACAAAGGCAATGTCTGTAAAAAACAAATTAGATTTTACAATGAAAACAAATTCGGGACTTTCAAAATGTGCTGTCTGTTCTGTTAGGATAAGATTTTACTGGTAAACAATTTTAGGATAAATTTATAAATTGACAAACCGTAATTATAACAAGGCCTGAATGCAATATACACCTGCAGAAGACTAATCGGCAAAAAATCGGGACTGCAACCGCACATAATCCATTCAAGAGGCTGATCATTCCTCAAGGCAACGGACTACATAGTAGCCACATATTCTTTTGAGGACAAGATCAATATCAGTATGTCTTCAAGACTGGGATCAAACCCCTATATACATAGGGAGATAGTAATCTTCACAGATCCCGCAAAAACAAAAACCGGCACAGGAGCCAGAGTATACTCAGAAACATTAAATATTCAAGAGTCATACAAACTCAGGGATGATTGCATTATCCTAATCCTGTATGCCAAAATACAGGGCAAAATACACAGCAGATGTAGCTTAACTTTATCACAAGGCCACATGAAATGACCAGAAAGAATGAAATGTCTAGAAAAAGTCTAAGGTTAAATAGAGAAGAAAATCGATTTTCCCTATTCCAACTCCATTGGAGCGCTTGGAATGCTGGAGGTGGAACAGGGAAAATCGTTTTCGTATAGTATAGGTTAAAGAGACAATGTAGTCTTTAAATATCTCTGTAAATGGCCAGTCAGTAAATATACATTTATTTATTTATTTAGTTATTTATAGGTAAAATAGGTTCAGAATTTAACATATAATTTGAAAATGAAATAAAAAATTGGTGTTTTTATTTAAAAAACTGAAGTTAACTGTCATGACTTGGGTCACCCTGTATACATGATATTATCATCTAAAAAACGGCCACTAGAATAAAAAATCGACGTGTCCGAGGTTTTTTGAAAAATATCCACCCTGTATATTTCATGGATTTTACTCCAACCTTTACGTGCTCACAGTGTCGGACTGGCCCACCGGGCAACCGGGCAAAATCCCGATGGGCCAGGTGACGTCTTCGACAGGTGGGCCATTCGAATATTTATAAAAATAAATTAAAATATTCCACTCCACGCGCCATTGACTATCAAATCAAATCATACGTTATTTCGCGTAATCCACCGTCCTTATAAAAAATCAACTATCATTATCAATATCGACTACCACCTTCTGCTCTGAAAAATTTCAAGCCGAATTCGCGTAGAAATCGCCCGCCGCATATCAGTGAATTTGAATTCAACTGACGTAGCCGTTCTTGATTTTCAGAAATACAGAGACAGGGTAGTGAATTTGTGGAAAAAGCCACATCCTCACATTGGTTTTGGTATTAAAAATGCTTTAATAACTCTTCGTTTTTTGCAAATTAATCACCCTGTTTTTCCGAAAATCAGCCTAATCAGCAACGCTTAGAATGACTGGAATAGTTTCTCTGTTTATTGATTACGATATCTTTAGAAATTAACTCTCTTCTGAGACCATAATATCATTTAAACATCTCGACCTCCGCCTCCCTCTATTTTTTTATTTTTATACACCCTAGATGTCCGAGAACGAAAAGCTAAAAAAGAATAAGTTATATACAGGGTGTCCCACCGGGAACCAAATCGATCTACCTATATAATAATAGGAAAAACTGTATGCAGAAATTTTTTGGAAATTTGACAGTATACCAATGTCAATGGGGCAACCCGGCTAAAATATTTTCAAGATGGTGGCTCTTCCGGTTATACCGGAAGTCAACTTGCTTATTTTAAATGAAACACTTTGTATGTGATTGCATATTTGAGACATCTTTTTGATCATGAAACCGTTTCAAACCTGAATCAAAACTATTTCGATTGTTACGTCATCAATTTGCAGTGTGACAAAAATGCACGATTTTGAAACGATTCGCGTGACACTCGTTGACATCTAAAATTGTCAGGTCATAGTCATAAAAAAATTCCAAGTTGAAATTCTGTCATTTCCACGTTTTCTTGACGATTTCCATTTGTTATAATCAGTGCGCACTGGATGTATCCGCATCTTTTTCTTAAAGCATGTAAAATACAAGGATAGGGATACATTTTTTTTTGCACTGATTCTACAAATGGAATTCGCATTGAGTCTTCATCCATATTTGCACTAGCTAATTTACTCTTCAGTTGATATTGGCACTATTTACAGTAAAATAGGTAATATTGACAAAAACAACGATAAATGATTTTGAGGTTATACTTATATACCCAAGAACAATGACCTATTAACACAGATAGACAGAACATCCCATTGATTGATAAAATAGCTTTGTTTTGGTTGACTTCATGTTTATGGGCCGGGGGGGGGGGGGGGGGGTGAGCTGTGAAAGGGGCTAGGAGTAGGGATTCAAATGCTTCCGCTAACTCCGCTCCCACTTTACTATCGCATACTTGGTAACTTTGAAATTGAAACCAGAATCAGTGCTACAAAAGTGTATCCTTATCCTTATATTTTACATGATTTTAGAAGAAGATGCGGATACATTCACTGCGCACTGATTAACAAATGGAAATTGTCATAAAATACCTGTAGGCCGCATTTTGACATGACAATTGAATAGAAGCCGCTGATTGGTAGAAAGGTGGAATTCGAGGTGGAATTTATTTTTTTGCAGCGTTGCTAATTTTCATTGAAAAATAATCGCTTTCCACGTGTTAGAGAAAGATACAAAATAACACCAGGATTAATAAGTAGTGGGGAGAGATGCGGTTCCTGGGATGTAGTCAACCTATATTATTGTTTATTGTTCTGTCTGTCTGTGTTAATAGGTCATTGGCCAAGAACCCTGTTTGAAGCGTGCCCAAAGATCATTTCAAAGCTGGTTGTACCGTTGTCGTCCTATTGCAACACGAAAATGGAGTGTTCCAAACCAGTATGAAACGGTTTGAAAGAATTTCAACAGAAAAAGACGTCTTCGGATTTTACGTAAAATTCTGAACGGATTTCATGTGATATACCCTATACTTACCCAAGTTCAACTGTTATGGAAAATGTTATGTTTTACATACTACATCGGTAAATGTAAATAGGTATTAACAAAATATAAACAGGTAGCTGAAGTAAACCTATAGGGCCGATACTTTTGCTCCCGATTAACGAATTTGACACGTCGTTAAATTTAACAAGGTTTTGCATGGGCCAAGGTCTGTAACTATGTGGTTAGAGCACATTCAAACCCCTGATTATTTTTAACAGCTGTCAAATTCGAAAACTGAGAACAAAAGTATCGGCACCTTAAGTACCTTAAGTACGTACCTAGTTACCATCGTCACCAAAAGTATCTGGGACAAAAATAATGCATAATAATCTCCTGGACTAATTCTTCCGTCATTCATTTCAATGCATTTAATTCATAATTTGACAAATATTTGACAATAAAATTCATATAATAGTACAGGAGCTTATATGATGTTGTCCTAGTTAGTTTTGGTGACGATGGTACCTTATAGGGTGATTCAGTTTGAGGTTACAATTTGAATATGGCAATACTGGTTTGCTGAATATATGGCTGAAATTTGGCATGTGTCATAAGTGAGTATTGACATCTACGAACATGGAGCGGTATTCAACACAAGATCGTATTTTAATTGTTAAAACCTATTTCCGAAATTAAGGAAATTTAACAAAGACGATTCGTGCATTACGAAATGACTTCGGTAACCAACCGTCCATCTCGTGCCGCGGTTAAAAAGATTCAAAAATTTGACCGAACCGGATCAGTGTTGGATGTCCAATATTCTATCGGGTCTTCAGAAAAAAAAACAATCAAAGATTGCTATGGTTTTTTAAACGTATGTCTTAGCAATATTGTTTAAAATTTTGTCAATGAACGTTAATGTCAAAATGTCATGTCAAAAATCCTGACCAATAAAGAAACAATAATTCGACGTACGTTTTTGTAATCAGAGCAGCCTTTGATTTTTTTTTTTTTTGAAGACCCGATATGATGTCCAAAGACCAATACGTCCTCGCAGTGGTCGATCAATCGAAAATATTTCCGCAGTGAGAAATCGTGATTCAGATTCAACAAATGATTATAGGGAAATTAATAAAACAGTGTATATGTGGGGGATCAAAATTTCTGACGTTGGCATGTCGCAATGTTGCCGCATCAACTTTTTCACTTTGACATACCATACCTGTTTGTCATTTTCCCAGGTTACATTTTTATCAATAAATTGAGGTGTCTCGTAATACCTGGGCTGCGTTCAGGAATGGCTACAGCCAAGCTAAAATTGGCATTTTGCGTTCGAGCTCGGCTCCAACCTACTTGTTTCGGCATTACCGGTGGAGGGGGAAAAGTAGGTTTTGGCATTAGCATTGCTGTCCTTGAACGCACCCCTGGTGTGCGCGCGCAACTCGTGGGTTGCAGGTGAGCGTCCAATGAAAATCGAGTTTGTTACAGGCTCGCGTTATATTCGTATTCAGGGACGAGTTCAGAATTAATCGTTGCCTCTTTCTTTGTAACGTGTGATTCGACAAAGAGCAAACTAATACTTTACGTATTACTTGAACTTATCGCAGTGTCGTTTAAAGTTATGAGATTATACTTTGACATATTCCTTTGCAGTTTCATTGTGCGATGTTGCCGGATGAAAAATTAATCAAAATAAAAGTGCTATTGATGTTAACATACGCTTTAAAGCTCTTCTTTTGTCTGATTTAAAGCGTTGTAAAACACTTGACAATATATCACTTCTTTATAATGTTATAATGTTTGTTTTGTATTGTCCACATTTGTTCTGCAACAATACAATCTGGCTACACTGCAGCCACGAGTTGCAGCACATGTCATTTTTTATCACTTTCTAGCTTGTATTTATTACAATTGAGCTCTCTTTTTCTATTTCTGCGAGACACGTCAATTGATGAGAATAATTATAATACCAAAAAACGAAATTCCATTAATACAATTTTATAGCAAGTTAAATTATATCCAAACTATATCAATCCCCGACTCGTTAGAAACTGACAACAAACCTTAAAATGTTAAAATCAATAACCAAAGATTTGCAGAAGGCAACATTACCCACAAATGCCAACCTAAATCCCATTTTATCGGCAGATTCGGTTATATGATCCGACACCATTTTGTCTCTTTTTAACTAGGGTTAAAAAAAAAGAGAAAATGCGCTCTGAGTTTAAAACGAATTTTAATTTCTTACAAACTGCAATTGGCAATAATTTCGATGTCATTGATGACCTGCAACCATTATTTTAATAATTTCACTATATCAAAATTGTTTTTATTGAATGGGGTTTAGGTTGGGTGGGCCACTTCACCATTTGCCCGGTGGGCCAAATGACCCCCAGTCCGACACTGCGTGCTCACTGTATGTATCGAAGCATGTTAAAGGCATATAATGAAGCTGCTCCTAAGAGGTGTATGATAATACGCCCTAGATATAAAGGGCGTGGCACAACAAAATGTAAGTGAGGCTGGAAAAATAAGGGATGGAGCGTATAAAAAATGGAAGTTATGCTGTTAAGACTATGAGGGAAGAAAAGCGAAAATAGTTTTTGACAAAAATTAATGAACAATAGAGGCAATTCTGTAAAGCTGTGGCAAGTGTTGAAGTAGATTATACCAAATAACAAGGAAAGTGAGTCAGTGCTAGAAATTGAAATGAATGAAAATCCTGTTATCTATCTAGGTATACACTGTGATTTACGTAGCCCGTGAATTGGAAGTTTTTTAGATCGCAGGTAGATCACTAGAGATAGTATCTAATCCACCTACAACCTAATGCACGGGCTACGTAGCACACACCAGGTATCCGCTAGTAAAAAAACCCAACTGTTTGAATAGATATTTTGTAGCATTGTAGAAATAACTAATGGAGTTGATAAATCGGGACCACAATATCCAATTTCGAATAATGTTGGTTTGGATCTCGGCGTGACAACCCTGGAGAATTTTTCACTAGTCTTCATAGAGGACCTACATGAGCACTCATGAGCACTCCAGATGAGTTGAAAGTTGGTTTTGTGAAAAATTGTTTTGATAATATTTCCAGCCCTCTTCTAAACCTTATAAACAACTCTCGAAATAGGCGAGGTGCCAAAGGATCTAATGATATCTACGGTAGTCCCGGTACCCAAGGTTAATGACTCCAACAGGGCATCAGACATGAGGCTCATTAATATGTTGAGCATTGTTGAGAAGGTTTTGGAGAAGGTCGTGTATACGCAGTTAGTGGAATTTATCCAAACCAATCTGCTGCACGATGTACAGTCTGGATTTCGTTCCAAGTATAGCTGTGAAACAGCATTACAGTGTCTGGTTGATGATTTTAGGGGAAATATTGATGATGAACTGGTTACGTGTGCTTTGTTCTTGGACCTCAGGCGGGCATTTGAAATCGTAGATAGGGTGCGTTATTGCAGAAATTAAGGGCTGTTGGGATTAAGGGAAGGTCATTTGATTGATGGAGTAGCTATCTGGAGAATAGAAGACAGAGATAATGTTAATGGTGTTGTTTCTTATCCTCTGGCTAAGGATTTGGGTGCGTCTCAGGGTAGTATGCTTGGACCTCTGTTATTTTTGATTTACATAAAGGATAGAACTGAGGCAGCTGGGCCATGTACACTGCACTTGTTTGCTGATGATACACTTCTGCACTTCTCAAGTAGGGAAACGGAATGTGCGGTTGGTACAGTTAACCACAGCTTGGAGAGAGTATACAGATGGTGTTGTGCTAATAACTTAAGGATATCTATGCTATCTACCCTTTCAAAGATTATAGAAAAAGTTGCTAAAGCAAGATTGGTAGAATTTCTTGGTAATAACAATATCCTTAGTCCTGAACAGTCTGGATTTCAAGAGTAAAGGGGTACACAAGATGCTATTTTCTCCTTTTTAGAGAAACTGTTTTTTGGGTTAAATGATGGCGCAAAGGCAGCGGCGGTGTTTTGTGATTTTTCCAAAGGATTTGATTGTGTAAATCACAAAATACTGCTGCGCAAGATGGGTCATTATGGCATTAGGGGAACAGAATTAAAGTGGTTTGAGTTATACCTTGCGGGACGTAGTCAATTTGTCAGAGCATCAGATTAGGAAGATTCAGAAACTTCAAAGTTGACACATGGAGTTCCGCAAGGGTCTGTTCTTGGGCCTGTTTTATTTTTAATTTACGTGAATGACCTAGCCGGGCTGTCGATACTGGAGGTATTTGTAATTTTTGCAGATGACACCACAATTCTTTGGAAACATAAAGATGACAATCTTTTGGCCAACATAATAGAGCAGGATTTGTGTAAGGTTGGAGAATGGTGCGATGCTAACTGTCTTGTGTTTAATTTCAAAAAAACAAACATACTCCCATTCAAGTGCTCCCTTGTCGGAATCACACTCTGCGACAATAGTTTGGAAGAAAAGGAAGTCGAGAAATTTCTGGGACTCCACATAGATTCGAAACTCAAATTTGACTGACATATTGATCATCTTGATGAAAAATTAGCTAAAGGTTGTTACATTATAAAGATCATCGTCCATGAACTAGGAAAGCAACACAAAGCTCTATTCAATCGGTTGTTGTTCTACAAAAAGGAGCGATGAGATATCTTTGCCAGGTTGGATGCAGGGAGAGCTGTAAGCCTCTTTTTATCAAGCATGAAATTCTAACGGTTCCGTGTATCTTTATATTGGAGACTGTATGCTTAATATTTAAAAATTTCCAGAGGTTCGAAAGAGAGGAAGTACAGTACAAGTAGTACAACCTGAGGCACAACAACTTGTCCTTACCCTATACCTAGATCGGCATTGACAAAAAACTCTATTATGTATGAAAGCGTGAAAATGTATAGCAACTTGCCGAATGATATTAAGAATATTAGGGAATATTTTGCTTTTTGTGGTGGAACGCCTATGCGGGAAAGATAGGGACAATGGAAAAACTGAACTTCGTAAAAACCATGCACCGGCATAAAACGAAGAAATGGTTAAAGACTTAGGGCGGAACCACCCTGAAGAAGTGATCACAATGGGTCTCCGAGCACATTATGCAAGCTCTACGACAGTTGTAGGGCAACCCCCTAACCTATAAGACACTAAATATCTCATTTCTCATTCTCAAAAATATTACACTTCAGGTATAGGCAAATATATACAAAAACTATTCAAAATTGTTCGTAAAATACGAACTTTCAGTTAGTAGTATGGGGCACCATTAAATTGAATTTATGGCAGTAATAATCTCAAAAGTAGATCGACCGGAAACTTTCGACTGAACTGAAAGTGAAATTTTTATGGTAGGATATTTTAGTGCTCCTAGAAAAGGGTGATATATCGGTATTTATTTTTTGTCATACTATAATGTTATCTCACCGCCGGCCGTTATTTTCAATCATACATTTTGCAGTTATCAGCCGTGTTTCGTTCTAAATATTTCGTCATACTGCAGATATAAGGGGTATGTTTGAAAATAACGGATTATTTATATTTTAACCGGCCGCCTATAATAGTATATTATGCAATGATCATGTAAATTGTTAGATAAACCTATTGAACTTGATAACATTGAAGTCAGCAAAAGCAGAGCTATCAAATGAGTTATTATTATATAGGGTGTCCAATAAAAAAAAATCAAAACTATTCAAAACATTTGTTTGAGGTTAGATGATCTAAACTGAATTTATTTGTTTTTGCAAGCTCCTTTGTTTACGTCCTCTTTTATACTTAACACACTTTATGAAGCATTCCGTAAATGTGTATGTTCACGTTTACATGATTCTTTTTGTTTGCGTTCGAGTGCAACTTCAACTGTCTATTATCATAAATAAAAAAGTTATGAAGCTTTCACAGTATTGCTCAAAATTGAGAAATAACCTTTAGCGGCTAAACGGTTGAAGATGCCAAAATGTGGTTTATACCAATCCAGCTAGATTTCACGAAATTTGAGCCTCAGGGTGGAGCGCTAATTTTTTTGTAACTCAGAAATTGGCGTTTCTTAAATTGTTCAAATGGACTCTTTCACTAAAATTTAAATAAGTAAATTAAGCAAAAAATCTAAAATGAGGGACTATTTTAGGTATATTTGAAAAAAGAAAAAATCTAAATGAGTTTTCTACAGGCACTTCAAAAGTGGAAAAATTTAAGATCCTTATAACACACTATTCTATGACGCATAAGGGATATGAGCATTATCTCTACCAATCAAATTTAGGCCCAATTTAATCATCTTCACATAAACTTGCTGGAAACTATTTGCAAGATTAATTTACCTTTCTATAATTCTATTGGTCGGAAGATAACTGGCCGACCAATGGGATTGCAGATTGCGTTTTTATCTGTCAGATTACATATCTGAGAGTTTATCAGAAGGTGAATAAATGGGCCCTTAAGGATATACCTATTCCATCAACAAGCTGGCTAGCTTTGATTGCGCTGTTGCCAGTTATGACTAAATGTAGCGCATCATTAGAAAAAAAAATTAAAAAGTTAACAAAAGATAAATTTAAACTGTGTATGATAATAATTCAAAAAAGAAAATGTGATGAATTCTTAACTCTTGAATCCCTAAGTAATTAATTTAACTATTTTCCTTGGTATTTTGCCAACATTTCAGAATCAAATATACTAAAAATTTTCAATGCTGAGAATTAGTGGCAACACTGTGAAAAGGCAAGCTGTGATGTAGTGCTGATAAGTCTGGTGTTTATATTTTTCATCTATTTTCTCAAAAAGGACTATGAATTTTTCCAAAGTAAGAATGCAGAAAATTCGATTTTTAGTTGCTTTATCAAATTATGCCAATTTCAAAAATTACTGAAAGAATCCATTGGAACACCATTAATGGATGCATTTTAAGTGTCAAGTTCTTACCTTTGCTGTTGCTTTAGGTTTTTCAGGTTCAGCTTTTTTCAAGGACTCATCTGGCACTCCAACAGATGCTGCTGTTATAGGCACCAATTTACCAGCATTGGTAATAATATACCTAGCAGTATTTTTAGGAGGAATCGTAATATTTGAAATTATATTTATGGTTTTTTTGGGTGTTGCTATCGATGTCTTAGAGGGTGTTTCATCATGTAGAAGTTTCATCGTTTTTGCTATAACAATTTTTTTGTATGGGATGCATTTTCTATGTAAAAGGAAGCTTACCAAGGTCATCTTCCTCCTGTAGAGGTTCAATTAGAGAAGTGTAATCGTGATCCAGTTTAATACTGGAGAGATTAGCAGCTACATCATAAGACTCATCAACTTCTGCGACCACATCTGAAAATATAATTAATTAGCATAATATGTAGATTTCAATTATAATTGTTAAAATTCCCACCTTCCTCTTGTTCGACCCTCATACTTTCTGGATAATATGTAACTTTTTCTGTGAGGATGGTCATTTCACCGCTTTCATTTAGTTGAGAGTCCCGCAGGTTTATTATTTGAATGTGTGTAGGAACGTCTCGGCTTTCTGGAATAAATTTGTAGGTATTTTAACAATTGCATTATTGCTGCAAGAATTTTAACACTTATTCCAAAAAAAAAAAATAATAATAATGCAATAAACAATATATACCATCACCATTGAAGCTACTCAGGATCTCCATTTGGGGGGAAAGGGGATACTTTCTCTTGAACTTGAATGCTTGGCTTGGGTGAGTTTGTAAATGACAACTCTGTGAAGCTTAATGAATATCTTCAAAAATACTGTTCCTCTAGGGACACATACTGTTAATTGTTATTTATATACAAAACAGTGTTCCTTCAATAAAAATTATTGGTTTAAAATAGAAAATATTTTACTTCAACTTTAGATTAAGTAAAACCAGACAAGGGATAAAGCAGTACTAATAAAAACTACAAAACTTACTCAAGTATTCTTCTACAACCTCTCTATTGGGCGTAACTGTTCCATCTTCTCCGATTAACATCATTAAATTGTCCTTTAGGGCCTCGTCTGTCACATCGGAAATGTTGTAAACAGAGTTTGCCATGGTGTAAAGGGGTTACCTGAAATATTTTTTTTTATCAGGATTGTTACTGGGTTAGGGTTTTAGTGAATGCAAGAGGAATACTGGTACTGGTAGGCCCTGTGCTGTTATAATTAAGTTAAGTATGCAGAGGACAATCGACAATGGCCAATAAAAACAACATAGACACAGGTTAGGTTTGATAAACTCTTTTATTATACAAATTTTATAACAATTTCGGTTTTTAATATATCAGCCAAGTTGTTTTTAAGCAATTTCTTCATCTTCTTAAGCTGTACACTTCCTATTTTACACAATAACAATGGGAAATTGGGGCTGCTAATAGGTTTTGTTTATTGATTTTTTTTACTTCACCATTTGGCACTCACTTTTGTAGCTAGAGCTGGTACAGTCACTGTCCATCAATCAACCAATGCAATGGCTTCTTGGGAAAGCTTTAACAACTCCAACATTTCGATTGAAAATTATAAATAATTGGGGCTTGGTCTCCTTCGCTTTGGTAATCAATTATCAAAAGTATCAAAGCAAAGGCAAAAAGCAAACGCCATTTTGGAAAATAACACGCCAACGAATGTCGCATGTCACTGTTGATGGCATGTGGCGTCTGATAGGAATGGGCGGAATCAAAGATAATACACACTACTAAGGATTGCTCATCGGCCTCGTTTTTGGTATTCGCCGCCATATTGGTCGCGTTCCTAAGCACTCAACATGTTGAGTGATTAGTAAGCGGCTTTGTTCCAGCTAGTGGAATGCACAAGGTAGAAAAGTTTTCATTGGCCTAGAGCTGATTTTCATCTGTTTTCAACATAGCCGCTGACTAATCACTCAACATGTTGAGTGCAGGAACGCAACCATTGATGTGGCACCATTTTTAACGTCATCAACAAGTCGTCAGCTCTTTGCACTAGAGGTCGTAGTTTAGAATTTAAAATGATGAAATATGATTTAATTTTGATTTACCACGGGAATTATAAGGTGATAATACCCACGGGCAATTGGTGTCCCTCGGGACACAAACTTTGCCCTGGGGTATTAACACCGTCATAATTCCCTTGATACATAAATAACTATATTTTTAGCTAGTGCTAGTGCAAATTTTATTATTTTACGATTAATAAAAAATTATTGTTTCAAAAGATCGTTTCTTGCATCGAAGGCAGGAAAATCTCATGTTGTTTGCTGCGTAGACGTAGAGCAAGGATAATACACACTACTACTACAGAATAGCTTATCCGCATTAGGCCTGTGTAAATCAAATCTCAAGCCGCCCACTACGCCAAAGAACTAGTGATGACGTAAGCAGCGTGTCGTTTCTGCCTTCATGTAGGTTGTTTGCACCACAGGTTATGTTTCCGCGGGCTTTTGCTTTATGCATACTTGGTTTGAGTATATTAATTAATATTCTTATAGCCGTTTGCACCGAACATTTTAAGGGAGGTTCAACGATAATCAACGTTTAAAGTGACTTTATTACATGTAAAAATGTCATTTCGAACGTTGCAACGTTAAACCTCCCTTAAAATGGTCGGTGCAAACGCCCATAAAACAACACTTTTCAGATCTCATTTGCATGTTCCTCTTTGCCTATTATGTTAATCAAAATTAAATAATAGCTGCTTTTTTTCTGCAAGCTGTCTTATCTCTTAGCTAACTTTGAAATTCTTAGCTGAGCTAAGTTGTATACCATTTCCAGCATTATTTCACACTAGTGAAATTGGATTTCAAATTAATGAAAACTAAATTCACATCAGTGAAATCTAATTTCGCTCAAATGAAAACTGATTTCAAAGTAACGAAAACTAATTTCTCATAAACGAAATTTGATTTCACATTTTCGAAAATGAATTTCAAACTAACCCTCACTTTTCAAACAATTATTATTTTATTTTGAAAAAAAATCAACATCGTTATTTATTTCAATCTAATGAAATAAACCCACTGAGTTTAATAAAATACAATTATGAACCAACAATATTAATTTTAAGTTATTTAAATAAATTGAACTTCAATTGAGTCTTCTCACTCTTAAGACAGCTGCATTATACCTTTCCACGTGATTTGCAAAACTGAAGACAAATTTATTTATGGACGACCCACACTGTAAGAGCTTATTAGGTACGTAACTCATATTAGTATGTTTATTGAGTTACGTAATAGATTGTATTATCGTACTTAGTGATGTAATAAGCTCATAACGAAACTCATTACCATTGAAAAACGGCACTTTTTAAAATTACTTTATTCGGAAAAATTATAAATTTAGTCTATTGTAAAAAATTAAAACTATTTCGAATACATACAAAAAAATCTCGGTCGTACATAAAATGATGTATATCACACGTACGGTAACGCACATTACACCACTCGTGTGATTACCACGAGTCGGTCTACGACCTCGTCTTGGCAATATTCCCCACTCGTTACTGTAATGAAGCTGATACCGCACTAGTGATATAAATAACTAATTAAATAATTCAAAATTATTATTGTTGTTTCATGATTGTTTTTAATGTAATCTTAACTCAGGGTTTATTTCATTAGGTTGAAAGAAATAACGATGTTGATGTTTTTTTCAGAATAATAATTGTTTTATTTTTTATGGTAGGATATTTTAGTGCTCCTAGAAAAGGGTAATATATCGGTATTTATTTTTTGTCATACTATAATGTTATCTCACCGCCGGCCGTTATTTTCAATCATACATTTTGCAGTTATCAGCCGTGTTTCGTTCTAAATATTTCGCAGATATCTTTCAATCTGACAAAAAAAAAAACACTGCTATAAGGGGTATGTTTGAAAATAACGGATTATTTATATTTTAACCGGCCGGCGGCCTATAATAGTATATCATGCAATGATCATGTAAATTGTTAGATAAACCTATTGAACTTGATAACATTGAAGTCAGCAAAAGCAGAGCTATCAAATGAGTTATTATTATATAGGTGTCCAATAAAAAAAAATCAAAACTATTCAAAACATTTGTTCGAGGTTAGATAATCTAAACTGAATTTATTTGTTTTTGCAAGCTCCTTTGTTTACGTCCTCTTTTATATTTCAACACACTTTATGAAGCATTCCGTAAATGTGTATGTTCACGTTTACATGATTCTTTTTGTTTGCGTTCGAGTGCAACTTCAACTGTCTATTATCATAAATAAAAAAGTTATGAAGCTTTCACAGTATTGCTCAAAATTGAGAAATAACCTTTAGCGGCTTAACGGTTGAAGATGCCAAAATGTGGTTTATACCAATCCAGCTAGATTTCACGAAATTTGAGCCTCAGGATGGAGCGCTAATTTTTTTGTAACTCAGAAATTGGCGTTTCTTAAATTATTCAAATGGACTCTTTCACTAAAATTTAAATAAGTAAATTAAACAAAAAATCTAAAATGAGGGACTATTTTAGGTAGGTATATTTGAAAAAAGAAAAAATCTAAATGAGTTTTCTACAGGCACTTCAAAAGTGGAAAAATTTAAGATCCTTATAACACACTATTCTATGACGCATAAGGGATATGAGCATTATCTCTACCAATCAAATTTAGGCCCAATTTAATCATCTTCACATAAACTTGCTGGTAACTATTTGCAAGATTAATTTACCTTTCTATAATTCTATTGGTCGGAGGATAACTGGCCGACCAATGGGATTGCAGATTGCGTTTTTATTCTCATCGGTGGATTCACCGATGAGTTAGCTATCTTTGTTTAGTGAATGGAAAATGACAATGACCGACATAGAATGGTGGATCCATCGGTAAAATTTGATGAGAATAAAAACGCAGGGGGTCATATATTTTAATGACAGTCAGTTATCAGTTTGACTGTCAGAAAATTTAATGCATAAAAAAATAAATGACCCGAGTGTCATAAAAATAAATGACGTGATCGTCATTTTCATTTTGACTGTGACATGACACTGTCAGAAAATTTGGCTTACATCCCTAGGTAAGAGGCTCTCCAAACCACGTAATTTTTCAAGATGGCGAGCGTGGAAAACTTGACGTTTCTTTGTTTATATTGAGGAATATTTTCAAGCTAATTACAGTTTACTTTGTTATAATATACTTCTTGAGATGCAGAGTGAATATTTAAAGACTTAAATGCAGGAAAATTAGGATGTGGGCGAACGGTTAGTTGGAAAAAATGTTCAGTTGACATTTTTACCAACAGTTTTCACATCAATGACCAAATGAAGGCCTACAAAAGCTTAGATTTTTAAGTATTTTGAGTCTGGCTTCATTTCAGATGCAGGAACAGTGGTAGTGAAAAATTTTGACGTTGTAATTGGAAAATTTTAAAACAGAGAACAGAGGGCAATGAAGAAACTGAAAAAAGCCTGACATCATCCTTGTTGAAACGACTTCCACAATTAACTACAAGACACGTTTGTGGCATTTCTAATTGGATGAAACGCTAATGAAGTCAATAAAATAAAAAAATACTCAGAGTTCATTCACAAAACAACCACAAAATGCACTTCAAAAAGCTTTAAATACCATACACTCATATACGGGATAATGAACTTCCGCCCAGAACGCACTTTTTGACAGGTCGTTGGAATGCCTAATTGAACTAAAGGATGGAATCCGGCATCCTTGGCGTAGGCAAGGGGGTTGGTAATTTCGACTGACAGAAACTTATCTAGATGTAAGAAAAAACGGTCCTTTATTTCAGAATAACTTAGGTTAGCTAAGATAGGTGTTAGAAAAAAAGCAGCTAATATTTTTCATCATAAATGTATATTGTAAACTACGACCGTGGGCACAAACAGCTGACGACTTAATTAATGACGTAGGCAATGGTGCTTACACCGCGTGTTGGAAACATGTTCCAACAATCATGCTATCTCTTTTTGATGGCAAAATATTTTTATACATATAAAGTTTGAAACACTGCAGCGTTGTCGTCATGTCTATTTTGTCATGTCTGTCAATATATTGCGCGCCATTTTTGTCATTGCAGCAGTGTAGCTTGGAGCTTGTCCACGTTAACAAGCATCCAGAAACCTTTTCACATTTTAATAAATTTTATAATCTAGCTCTGCCCTGTTGGGCATCTAAGCAAGCTCTGGCTTCTTGTCATCTTGTAGTAGTAATTGTAAATAGTGTAAATATTGTGTAAATTGTTGTAAATATAGTGTCAGTGAAAAGCGCGTGTGTTTTAGTTCCCTATCCAGTCGATCATCCAGTCCACCTAATTATACAGTCCACTAATTATCAAGTTATTTATCTTCCATTATGTGGTTTTGCACACCGCGATTCCCAAAAACGGAGCCGATAGGCGATTCGCAATCCTTGGACGTGGAGAACTCAGGAAAAATCAACAAGCATTTGAGCTGAATAAAGATTTATTGAACTATTGACGTGTCTCGTAATACCTGGTGTGTGCGCGCAACTCGTGGTTTGCAGGTGAGCGTCCAATTAAAATCGAGTTTGTTACGGGCTTGCGTCATATTCGTATTCAGGGACAAGTTCAGAATTAATCGTTCCTTCTTTCTTTGTAACGTGTAATTCGACAAAGAGCAAACTAATACTTTACGTATTACTTGAACTTATCGCAGTGTCGTTTAA